CAGGCCGAAAGATGTGATTTTTGTTTTATTATATGAAATCTGTGATTTTTAAAAAATAATACCCCCCAGTACTGCAAGGGTTAAATGCTTGATGAGTCTAGGTGTAGAGCACCCCATTTTCTAACAGGGGCGCAGCCAATAAGAAAAGATAGCCACTGCTTTCCACCTGCTCAGTGGCAGAACTATCGCCATAGCAAACCAGGCGGCCACTATGGGGCCCAGGGCACAGGGGGGCCCGACGACGAGGAACAAAGGGGTCCCATGTGGACCGCATGGGTCACTATGGCATCGCAGGCGGCTGGCTGTCACTGGCGGCTGTGAGGAGGAACGCACCACTGTCCGGATCACTGACATCCTGTCAGTGATCTGTGCAGCGGCACGTTCCTCCTCACAGGAGGGTAAGGAGGTGGCCTGCCGAGCCAGCCAATCAGACTTCAGCAATCGTCACCAGTTTCTAACAAAGGAGTTGAAACCATTGTTGGTTGCTATGTGCAGTGCTGGTACTTCCTGTTCCCTTTCTTTATAAATAAGCCGCAATTACTCAATTTTCCGTTCAACTAATGTGTGTAAAAAAAACAAAATGTGAGGTTGCCCGTACCAACCAATCAGAATGCACCTGTCACTTTCTTCCTTCTACCACATGTAGAAAGAAATCTGAATCCTAATTGGTCATTATGGGCAATGTCATCATTTAAGTCCTCTCTGGGATTCAGCCATGATGGTTCCCGTAGCAACCCACTGAGCACCTACAAAATGTAAACAATGCCAAAACATGGAGGTTACCCGTGCTATCGCCGTTGCCCCGTACCTTTTATCTAGTATGTATTCCGAAATGGGATTGAAACCGTCATTGGTTGCTATGGTTGTTTCCTGTTCTGTCTTTTATAAATATGCCATGATGACTCCCTTAGCAACCCGTTGAGCAGCTATAAACTGTAAAAAAAAAAAAAGGCCCGCCGTGCCACCCAGACTGCGGCTGTCTTTTTATATGGGGTAAGTAAATAGTGGACCTCCAGCACAAATCCCATGAGGCACTGCAAGACTCTGGCAGCCACAGGTATGACTTCCAGAGGCAAAGGCATCATGGGATTTGTAGTTTCACCTCAGCTGGCGGGCCAGAGTGGGCCTGTGTTCTGAAATGAAAAATGAACCCTCATCAGACGCTACGGGCGACACTATTATTTCTCTCAGCAACCCGCTGAGCACCTATATAATGAAAAAATGCCAAAGCAGGGAGGTCGCCCGCCACACTACCCAGTCAGACTGTGGCTGTAAGCAAACTGCAGACCTCCAACCATTATGGAACTACAACTCCCATGAGGCATTGCAAGACTCTGACATCTATAGGCATGCCTCCCAGAGGCAACAGCATAATGGGATTTGTAGTTTGACCACAGCTGAAGGTCAAAGTTTGCCTACGCCTGCCTGAGTTCCGAAATAAAAACTGATTTCTCAACCATCGCTATGGGCGACAATATTATTTCTCTCCACAACCTGCTGAGCACTTATATAATGTAAAAAAAGCAGGGAGGTCACCCGCCGCGTCACCCAATCAGACGTTGGCTGTTGTTTTCTATATAGGTACTAACCACACAGTGGCCCTCCAGCTGTTGTGGAACTACAATTCCCATGAGGCATTGCAAGACTGATAGCCACAGGCACGCCTCCTAGAGGCAGAAGCATTATGGTATTTGTAGTTTCATTACAGCTGGAGGGCCAAAGCTTGTCTACCCCTGCACCAAACCCTCATCGGTCGCTATGGGTGACACTATTATTTATCTCCAGGACTCGCTGAGCACATATATAATGTAAAAAACGCCAAAGCAGGGAGATCGCCCGCCGCTCCACCCAATCAGACTTCACCTATGGTTACCATTTTTTTTCTAGTGAAACCCAATCAAAAGCCTCCTCGGTTTCTATGAGCGACGCCATTATTTTCATAAATAAATCGCGATGACTCAGCAGGCCGGTTATTTGTACCGCTCACCTGCTCTGTGGATTGTGGCTTTATATATTTCAGGTTTTTTATGCTTTGATACGACGCCACGGCCACGTGAGGTCACTGGGCCTAACCCAGCCAGGTAAACAACCCCTCAGATCGTCGCCTATCAACACATTTATACAAGGAACAAAAAAGCCCATTGAGATCGGCGCGCTACGACGGCCTGTTTACCTTCCAGCAGCAGAAAGGAGGCGGATTAGTGGCTTGGTTTCCCGGTATGGCTCACAGGCTGGGCCGTCATGCCCGCAGCGTTGGCATCTCAGCTATGCCTACATCCTTTTAACCGCTCCTCTGCCATGACGGCCTGCAGGGTGCCAGTCTGGGATGTGCGAAACTCACCTGAGCCAATCCGATTGTACAGTCTACTAAACTTGGCCATACATGTTACAGTTTGATTGCGCGGTCTCTGGACAATCTCCTTCCTCATGTGAGGGGATACATACATAGTCCATGCAATGTGTATGTAATCAGCAAGGCCGTTGTTCATACAATGCAGAGTTGTTAAAGCTCACCGTGCGCATTACAATCTGACTGTACAATTTCATATTCAGGCTGCGGAAGCAGTGGTCTCTCTGCAGAGGTCCAATAATACACCCTCTATGAGTCACAGCAGGAGCTGTCCGATCAGCAGTGGGCATGACAGTTGCTGATTGG